AGTGAGCCTGCCCCTGCAGGTAGCAGGCAGGCAAGTAATGGTGCCCTGGAGGGTACAGTTGACATGGCACAACAGGGAAACAGAGGAGTCATGGGTCAGATGAGCTCTAATCGCTTGTGAGTCCTCAGCACTCAAAGCAGATAAACCTCATACCTGTCACATGATGGGGCGCAGCGCAGAATAGTCACCACCACGTCATGAGACTGTGTAAGGCTCATCTCCTGAAGGCTCTTGTCCAGTCTGTGCTCAGCAGACACATCCATGATGAATGTGAGCCATTGGTACATGTCCCTCACAATGCTTGGCACCTGGAGGAGACATAGCATGGAACTGGATTACTGATAGAGCATGGCATTTCCCCAGCTTCCCACGAGAAATGTTTCCTTTTCTACAACACTGTGCTGGCCTTAAAAGGGATTCTGAGTCCCCAGGATGAGTCTGGGGCTTTGAATCTATCCTCACCAGGCACTTGTCAACGCTCCATGTCTTTTCCAACAGTTGCTCGAGCTTCCTCTCCTGCAGGAACGTGTTAGCTTGAAGCAGAGTTTCCCAAAAAGCCTATAGAGCAGCAGATACCAGGAGATGGAACCACTGATGAGGGCACAGGACCTGCATCCCTTATACCTTGACAAGGCTCCTGGCCTTTCCTGACCCTTAGTGGGAATATGCAGCATCTGGGAAACTTGTACATCAGTGGGTTTGGTGCCTGGGTAAAGCGATGGGTCAACCCCCATCTCAGGCATCTGGTGCTGCCAGGACAGGAAAACAGAGGTTCCCCAGAATTGCTGCTTTGTAGCTAAGAGCAGGAAGAGACAGGAGCACAGGAGGCAGTTGAGTCACCGCCAACATGGACACCAACATTTCAGAAGTCCTCACCTGTGCCACACACTGGTTCTCATCATGCACGTGGCAGAACAGTAGGAACAGGCTCTGGCGCACATTCTTCTCCAGGAGCTTTTTTCCGTCTTCTTCTACCAACTCCATTAGCACTTGAAAGAGGCGAATGGAGAGGAGCTGCACATGGCTAGTGTCCTAGTGTAAATGAAGAGGGCAAGACTTCAGCACCAGCTTCTCCAGGCCCACCTGAGCATGGGCCTGAAATTCCTCAGGTATAAAGTTTCCTGGCAGCACCCAGTGCCCCTGGCAGGAGGCACAGAGCCTTACGTTCTCAAACAGTGGCAGGAGTGCCTCAGCCAGCTGCACAGCAGTGGAACTGGCAATTGGCACATCTGTGTCCCGGAGCACCTCGCTGAGCACAGAAAGGGTCATGCCCATCACCTCTCCATCTTTATCCTTCAGTACCTCTGTGAGGCTTTCAGTCAAGGCCAGGATAGTGTTGGCCTGCATGGAGCACAATGCAATGTTCTGAAGCCATCAAAGGCTGCATTGCCAAAACCACTCCAGCAGTTCAATCCCACGCTACTGCCTCAGAACCAAGAAGCCCGAGGCCTGTTCTGAAGGACTCTGGTGGCTGAATGGGGAGTCAGGAATTCTGGCAGCAGGTGACACAGCTCCTGAAGCCCAGACAAGTCCAAACTACTGTGTTACCCAGCCCCACATGGCCAGCACAGCTTCAGCCAGCTGTCTGCTTCTTACCATAGAGGGTCTCTTGCAGAGCACCAGGAGGCATCTGAGCAGCAGGAGACGCATCTCTCTGCAATCTCTCCTGAGGTAGATTGGGAAAAGTTGCAGGATGCGTTCATCCCATTCCTTTATGTTAAGGCAAGGCAGGAGCTGAAACATACAGAGCAGTGACAGTGGTCATATGTGGTGTTTGTGGCATAATATGTTGCTGAAATACAGGCAGAAAGTTATTTGCTTTCTGTCCTTCCATCATGTTCAGGCACTGCATATAGATAGGCAAAAGAATCTTGAAAATGTGAAGCTGAAGCAGGAAGCAGGCTTGACTCCAGCAGCAAGGGGCCAAGGGCACACAGCAGAGCCCACCCTCTGCCCCAGCTTCACAAACTGCAATTCCCTCCACAGCTGTGTGTCAAACAGGGCAGAATGGAGGGAGGCAGCTCAGCAAGGCAGCACTTGCCATCAGGCTCACCTCAACAAAGAATGCCATGGCAGAGACTTCCCAGCGAGCCTCCTCTCTGCGGAGCAGCCTGAACAGGTAGCGTGCAATCCGGTAACACAAGCACTGTGAGACCCTGAGCATTGCTCTGGAAGAGGAAAAAAGGCATCACTGACCCTGAGCAGGGTGGGCAAACCTCTCCTGAGAGTGAATTACCAA